ACCAGACAGCCCAATCTTGGGTGAAAGGGACGGAAGACAGTAGAGAAAAATGGACGAAACTAGATTCCCAGATCCCCTTCCCAACACCTCCAGATTTCGGCACGTCTCTCCTCTGGATAGTCTTAACACAGATGACTTCTGGAGTGGAGTACTGGAGGTGAGATAGGAGGGGTGAGGATGGAGGTACCCGACTTAAGTCAGAAGAAGTGAATATAATGCAAGAGGAATGCTAACTTGAGGACTTTGAGCTGTGTGGGAACTCTAACATAATCTAGCAAGGAGTTTGACATCTTGGATCTAGGTCTCTACTGGATGAACAGTACACTCTTAAGAAAGACTGTTATATAAAACGCAAAACTTGGCTCCAACAGCAGTCCTCTATACTACTCATCATTGAATCGCTAAGCTGTATTAACTCCAGTATGAAGAGGATGGTATGGGAATCCCTGGATGCTGTGGGTACCACCTGCCCGATTGGTCACCTTCTGACCCTTTCTATCTTCAGCATCTCAAGGGAGGTTAAAGGCATCACAGCGATGTGTTCAGTGCTCTGCTCCCTGTGGCAACACATTTTTTTGTGATGAAACTTTCACTTTGATACATACCCCCTGAAATGGTTTAATAGTACAGATCTCAGGCTTCCTCTGTCACTAGTCACCAGACCACTGGCAGCCAGGCCTTTGCCCTCCAAGTAGGGGACTGGAAGACCCTTTTCTGAGGAATCTGGCCTGCCCAAGAGGAAAAACCTGAAAATCATGACAATGAGAGCCACACCCCGACCCCCATCTAACAATCCGAAGCACTAACATGGTCCTAGAATAGTTGTTCTCCTTTGGGATGACCTTGGTCCCAAAGAACACTGGGTGATGTCTACAAGCATTTCTGACTACACGGGTGTGGCTACTATCTAGTGAGTAGAGGTCAGAGGTACTATCAATCATCCCTCAATGCACAGGCGGTCTTCCTCCAGACACTCAGCAGTTCAAGTGTCCTTTCAGCGTCTCACTCTCAATCATGACCAGACAGTCAAGGATTACCGGGCAGCTTAACAAAGCTAAGCTTCTCTAATAGAGAAGAAAACAGACTAAGCACATGACTATCCCTCATGCTGCTGAGAGACACGGAAATACAGCAGATAGACAAAGGTGCCATCTCATGCGGTCTTAGCTCATATAGAACAGTTTTTTTTTCTTTTTTTCAATCATCCATCCTTGTCTGGGGGCTTCCTTGATAGTTCAGTTGGTAAAGAATCCACCTGCAATGCAAGAGACCCCGGTTCAATTCCTGTGTCGGGAAGATCTGCTGAAGAAGGGACAGGCTACCCACTCCAGTATTCTTGGGCTTCTCTTGTGGCTCAGCTGGTAAAGAATCCACCTGCAATGTGGGAGACCTGGGTTTGATTCCTGGATTGTGAAGACCCTCTAGAGAAGGGAAAGGCTATTCATTCCAGTGTTCTGACCCAGAGAATTCCAAGGACTGTATAGTCCATGGGGTTGCAAAGAGCTGGACACAACTGAGTGACTTGCACTATCCTCGTCCACTGGTTTCAATGTAAATTCTAACTACAGAAGATGAGTTCTGCAGTCAATAACCCTCATTATTCGTTCAACTATCCAATGACTTACTACATACTCAGCACATAAAGTCTGAGGCTGATACAGTGTAAGAAGAAAAAGAAACTATTTCCTGCTCTTCAACAAGCCCAAATGTTTGGCTCTTCCTAGGCAAGTTTTAGCATCTCATATTAAAATGTTTTGAAGCCTCCAAGTCCAGTTTACATTTCAAAAGGTAATGTTTTTTGAGTTCTGTAACAAACTAGGGAAAGCCTGCTATAACATTCCACACAAACAACTAAGTGACCCTGCTGTAGACCACAGACTGACAAGCAACACTGTAAATCAAATACATTTCAATAAAAAAGAAAAGGCACACGACTATAAAGACGCCACACACTCAAAAGCACATCAGTAAGAAACTGATTCAGTCACTGATAAAAGGGAATAAATGCAGCCACAAAAGACTACCAGGCAGTTTCTCTCTGGTAATCTGGCACACACTGGATTGTGGGGGCTGCTGACATTGCCTCTTGGGCTGGGACGAGGTCCTCCACCAGGTGCAGGGGCCCACACGGTCACTGGCATCAGGGCCATGGCCTAAGGGTCAGGGATACTCAACTGGCTCACGGAGACCTGTGTGGTGAGGGGCACAGGAGGGGACCTGGTGTGATCCAAGAATGGCTCTTATGAATGACTTGAGCAAATGTTGAAATTAATGGGAGCTATGTTTCTCACTGTCAAAGAAAGTACCTATGAGAAGACAGAAGCTAAATAAACCTTGTGGAGCAACACTGGAACTGGAGGCATCGACGTGAATCATTGGTTTATGCAGAGATGTCAAAAAGGTCAAGTCTTCATGAAAGAGAAAAAGAGACTAAGGAACTATTCCAGACTGAAGCTAAAGTAAGAAATGCCATGAGTAATCCTGGACTGAGCAGACTTACAAAGGACATCACTAGGACAACTGACGAAGTGTGAATAGGGTCTATGGATTAGAGGAGATCATCGTACTGATGCTATCTTCTTGACTTCGATGCTTCTGTTGTAGAGTTGCGTGGACATGTATTCTTACCTTTAAAACACACACTTAAGTTTAGATCCTAAGTAGGTGATTAGGCATCATAACTCCACTTACTCTTAAATGGCCCAGGAAAAAAACACATGCATCATGTGTGCATGTGTTAAAAAAAAAAGAAAGAATAAATGACAGGAAAAATAGGGCTAGATGCTGAGAGTTGGGGAATATGGAAAGAGAATTACAGGCATTCTGTGTGGCACTATGGCAACTTTTCTGAGACTGAAATTTCAAACTGAATAGGGGAAAAAAAGGACATTCTCTGTAACTATATAAAATCCCAAGGTATTTTAAATGAAAAAAGAAACACACAAAAAAAACTAAGTGTAGTAAAATATGTATTTTGCTATTTAAATAAAAAAGGGATGCTGAGAGTATGAACATATATAGAGAGTAACATGCCAGATCTGAACTACATTGATTTCTTCCACTGATGAAAAACTTGGGGTTTAAAGGGGATCAGGTCTGGCTAGAGAAGAAAAGTTTTTTTTTAATGTGAAAATCTGAATTGAGTACTATGTGAAGTAAAGTGTAACTCAGGAAAAAAAACAAACCCAGAATGCTTCAGTAGTTGCCAAATACAAGTCCCAGGCTGGTTACCTCAGAAGGACCTGAAGAACATTTAAAACTACATTAGCAGGTCATCAGTTTCAGAAATTCCCTTTCAGTGGGTCCAGCATAGCACTCAGGTAGCAGTAAAATTTCCCTGCTGCTGCTGCTGCTAAGTCACTTTAGTCGTGTCCGACTCTGTGCGACCCCATAGACGGCAGCCCACCAGGCTCCCCCATCCCTGGGATTCTACAGGCAAGAACACTGGAGTGGGTTGCCATTTCCTTTTCCAATGCACGAAAGTGAAAAGTGAAAGTGAAGTCGCTCAGTCATGTCCAACTCTTAGCAACCTCATAGACTGTAGCCTACCAGGCTCCTCCGTCCATGGGATTTTCCAGGCAAGAGTACTGGAGTGGGGTGCCATTGCCTCCTCCCTAGTTCCTAATAAAACATAACATGGTTTGGGAACTGAGGCTTTAATCAGATCACCCAGACCTGATCCCCTCTAAGCTCCAGATTCTAAGTAAATAAGAAACAGTTTTTGCCCAGTGAAATAAGATTATAATCTAGGGAAAGAATACTTCACAAGTGAAATCAGAAAATCTGAAAACCGGATTTGTACTGAACTCTGAATAGAAGCCAAGGCTCACCTGTTATTCTTTCTTTCTGCTTCCTTATTAAGGACAAAAAATACTGTTAAAGTCAAAGTAACGTGACTATTACTTGGTACAGAAAACACATTCAAATACCCTGCATTCATGAGAAGGAACATTCTTTGTAAATATATTACAAGAGTACAGCTATTTACTTTTCATTAAGAAAAATCAGTGGGTACAAGTAAATACAGTGTCTGTAACATTCTAGATTTCACGTGGTAGATTCACCAGGGCTCATTTTATTACTGTGCTTTGTATTTTAATGTACATTAACTATATTCTGCATCAGATAAGAAGGTGGTTTTACATGGTAAGAAGGAAATTTTAAAAATTATAGCAACAAAACAGTTTAGATATCTGGTCCTTACATTTCAAAAAAGAGAAGTAAATACGAGAAAATGAAGCATTACCATGCCAGTAGTACGTATTTATTATTATTCATGAATGGTCAAGACTTACAAGGCCCATTACTGTTAGTATAACCGCACATATGAAATATCACTTAGTGACATGGAGTGAAAAGGACAGTTTCATATATATTTAAAAAATACATACACATACACACAGTCTCTCTCTCTCAAACATTCACCGTTCACTGCTACAAAAGCAGGAGGTATCAAGCTGCAGGAGTTCCAATATACATAACATGTTGAAATATCTCAAGCATAAAAACTGCACTTAGGTTGCAAAAATAAAGTTTCTTTCTTCAAACATTTTGATCTGAGCTCAAGCAAAGCAAACAATGAACACCAATGATTTGTATGCTATTTAACACAATTTAAAACATAAAAGGATACACAGTTGTAAAAGTCCTGAAAATGTAGAGGTTATTTATAGGAATGAACAATGCATTTCTTCCTCCTCCCCCAAAAAAAGTCTACAGCAGATGTGTTTCATCCTGGCTCCCAAATACTTGAAAATCATAATTTACTATATTCACACAGCAAATTGAGGCAGAACAAAATGAGAAAATCATTACTTCAAACAAGGCATTACTGCCCTTAAGTTTCCCCAGACAATTCACTAGTGCAAGAGCATCATTTACCTGAAAGATCATGAATCACAACTGAAGAGCACTCATACAAAACTATTTCCTCTTTTCTTTAAAAAGTGCCATGACTTCTTGACTTCTCGTTTTAAAAAAACACCACCACCACCCATACACTAATGAAAGACCGTCTGTCTCCATCTCTTGTCAATGAGGAAAGGCCAGAGTGACTCTTTGATTCCAATTCGGAATGGTGTTCGCTGGCCAATGCCCAAGGTCTCCAATTTGGAGCAATCAAGCTGAGCATTTCTCGGACGTTGTGCTCCTACGACAGGGCTGTCAGTTATCTTTAAAATAAACACACAAAATAAAAAATAAATGAGAAGCCCCATGATGAGGTTTTACATTCCCTATTTCCTTTTGCCCTCAGTGCAAGAAATATGATTTGATTTCTAGAAAAATAAAACATCTGCCACAATCAAGAAAACACTTTTTCTATAAACTTCACCAATACACATGGGCTCCTTTTTACCTGGCAATTTAGAGAAAATTAACAATAGAAACTGCCAACATACAAGCAAAGTTCGCTTTGATTAGTGCTAGAAAATAAACTTATCCAATACTTTTAAACAACAAAAAAATGTTATCCATAGAACACAACAGTGATGGACCTGGACTTCCAAGAAGTAAGAACGCTACTTGTCTGTCTGTTTTGGCCAAGTACAGCTTGAAGGATCTTAGGTACCTGATCAAGGATTGAATTGGCCTCAGCGGTAAAAGTGCCACGTCCCAACCACTGGACTGCCAGGGAATTCCCAAGTAAGGTTCTAAATGCCATGTACTTACCGGTCTTAAGTGGCTGCTGGGGAGGTTGAAGGTGTCTGCAATTGCACACGCCATTTCATACTTAGTCATCTGTTCGTTCCCAGACCAGTGAAAGGTTCCCTTAATTGATGGATCCTGACAAGGACACAAATAGTTCAAACTGGTTTCAAACTTTCTGAGTGGAGTGAAATAGCAACTGTGACAAGACAACTAACTTAAACAGGTCCAGGAAATATGATGTATTGTACCTTTCTGGAATGCTCTACACAAGATATCTAAAATCAAATTCCTATAAATCTCCCCAGTTAAAAATGGAATATCAGTTTCCAGAATTTAGCCGTAAGGATTTTTTTTTAAATAAATTGTTAGTGGCTCTGATTTTATTTAGTGGAAATCCTAAAATGATTACAGATTTTTATGAAACACAGACCAATTCAACTAGCATTTTCAATTATCCTAAGAAACTAACACCAAAACTTAACAGAACCATTTTTCAGGATGAGTTAGTTAATCATAACAGCTTTAAATATTGTCATGGTATGTATTTTTAAAAAATAAATAAATTTTGATGCATTAAAAAAACCAGTCATGCTACTATAAATATTCTAAAATAACTCAGTCTCTAAGTTTTCTTTCTGTAAATATTCTATTTAGCTCTTTTTCAAATACTTAAAATGAACTATTGTTCAAATATCTAAAAGAATAATTATAACTTATTCTTACAGTGGCTGAAATGATTAAGGCTCTTCTGTGCCACTACCTAGATCTTAAATAGACATTACTTAAGACAGGCTTCTTACAAGACATCAGGCAAAGAAAAATACAAGTTTTCAGTTATCTTGCAGTAAGAGAATGACAAATGGAGTCTATAGTATTTGAGAAATAAAATCAAATATAACAGCATAAAGTTTTCATTATTCACAAATACAGCTACTATCCAACTACTTTTGCTTGGTGTCCTTGTAAATTTTGAAAAAAGCACTTCGGCTCTCACCAGCATCCTCTTCTCTGCTAGCTGACGGCACACGGTGGCCACGTCTTTGACGTGGGTGGGGAACCGCTGTTGCCAGTGGTCCATGTTGGCGGACTTGTTGCTGAACTGCACTTTATCAAACATAACAGTCACGGCACTCTCCTCAAGCCTCTCAACGTCTCCGTACAGAACAGGAATTCTCAAAACAGCAGCTCCTAGAAAGTAATAAAAGCAGATAATATTTCAAAGCACACTGGTTCTTAAGTCTTGCTGTAAGATCAGAGTATGTGGATTCAAGATACATTATCACAGAAAACATGAAATATACCAGAATGACACAGCTCACCTATTTAAACAATTGTGAGCTGGAATATTTTTAAATGTCTGTCATGTGGGGTATTTTATATAATTTCTTCATTATTGTGGCCATTAAAAATAAAACTGATCATGACAATTTCAACAAGTTATTCCTAGATTCCTATAAGGAATAAGAAGTTATTCCTAGTCCCTGGTTATTCCTAGATTAAAAAAATGCAATAAAGGACATTTTGGGGACAAAATTCCTACATAGATTGTGTATTACATTAATGCTAAATTTCCTAGGTGTAATATAACTGCATTGTAATTATGTGAAGAACATCCTTGTTGAAGATACATGGTGAAGTATTTTGGGCTCAAATTCAATGAGTTCAGGAAAAATATAGTGTACATGTAAAACATGTGGCAAAATATTAACAACTGGTGAATCTGTATAAAGGGTATATGAGTGTTCACCACATAGTCCTTGAAAACACTGACTAAGGAATTATGAGGTATTTTATGTTGGTCAATACTGAGGAGTTATAACAGACTAGATAATTTACAGTAATTGAAATTCAATGAAAACTATTTTCAATTAACTTACTAAAGAGCTGGGCAGATGACTTCTGAATAACACAGGTCTGAACAGTGTGGTTCCACTTATATGCAACTTTTTTCATGCAGAATATCATGTATAAGATGTACTGAAGTGGATAGCCTATCCTTACATAGGCATAAGGTGAGTGATATTTAATATAAGGTTAATGTGCTTTCTTAATGTTTCATAACTTCGTTTTCAAAGAGTTACATTACCATACAGTACGCCTTGTCTCTCTTGTAACTAGAAAAACTCTGTATCAATCTATCATCACAGGTAAGTGGTTTTTAAAAAGAAAATTAACAGTATTAAGCTATATTATGAATGACTGCAATACCAATGCCAATAGTTTTATAATGATTCATTCACTAGTGTATAGGTGAGGCTACCATGAAGCAATCGTTACTGATTACACTGGCTACCATTTATGGCTTCTTCCTTACTGATTCCTGAATCATATCTGTAAATAAATATAAATTTCTTCTCAGACTATCTTCATTTTTGATGTGTAGTCCTAGTAATACATGACACATAGTGTTTTGTACCATATAAAACAACACTAATGTAGTTACTGACAATTCATCTTGTAAACAAATGAGGTAAACTTACAGTGTTGATATAATACTATATGTAATTTCTCTTATGAGTTTCTTAATTAGGAATAGTATATAATACACGTAACACAAAATATGTGTAAATTGACTCTTTATGTTTTAGTAAGGCTTGGCACAAGAGCTGCTGTTTAGTTGCTAAGTTGTGTCTGACTTTTTTGCGACCCCACGGACTGTAGCCCACCAGGTTCCTCCATCCACGGGATTTCCCAGGCAAGAATACTGGAATGGGTTGACAGTTCCTACTCCCAGGGATCTTCCTGACCCAGGGGATCGAACCTGCATCTCCTGTTTTGGCAGGAGGGTTCTTCACCACTGAGCCACCAGGGAAGCCCCTCTGTCAAGAGTAGGCTGTGAGCAATTAAGTTTCTGGAGAGTCTAAAGTTACACATAGATTTCCGACTACACAGGGGTTGGCAACACTAATCCCGGAGCAGTACAAGGGTCAGCTGTAAGCTAATATATATTCAAAGACAATTCCCAAAGTATAATTTATAATAATAATAATAATAAACGATAGGTGTTAATATGGTATGAATAGCAGGGGATGTTTCTCAAGGATGTAGTACAGTCTAAGGCAGTAGTTTCAGTGCAAAGGATCATTAAATCAGATATTATGCAGCCAAATTGATATGAAAAAGATATCATAGAGATGGCTCCATAAGGAATGAAATGTATGTATGTGGGGGGAGAAAAATCAGGTTATAAAACACTATGCACATATGTTTAGAAATCCACAAAAAATACTTTCATAACCACACTTACTGCTTCTCTGAGGAAGCACTGTAAGAGAACGCTACAGCTTTAGATTTTTAAAAAAAATTTTTAAGGAGGTTTTTAAAATAATTAACACATTAATGTGTGTATATATATATACAAACACATAGGAAAAAAGAAAAACCATACAAATGACTGTGGATACACAAACACAGGAAAAAAGAAAAACCATACAAATGACAGAATACTGCAATCTAAGAAAAATGATACTGATCTTTTTTTTTTTTTGAACGATTACAAAAACCTGATTTATTTTCTATCTATAATGGTATTGATGTACACACTGATACTGGAAATGGTCTGAAAGGATTCATAAATTCTTCAGGATTTCAAAAACTCTTGATTTTCTTGTTAACTACATTCCCTAGTTTTTCTCTAATGGATTTATGTTCCTTGACTAATTAAAAAAGACAAAACAAAACAAAACAGGAACTTCCCTGGTGGTCCAGTGGTTAAGAATCCGCCTTCCACTGCAGGAGATGCGGGTTCAATCCCAGGTCCAAGAGCTAAGATCCCACCAGAGCAACTAAGACCATACATCATAACTAAGACCCGGCACAGCCAAATAAAGAAAAATAACTAAATAAATATTTTAAAAATTAAGATACAGACACACATACACACAAATCTTAAACAAAAAAGGAATCCTCAAAAAGAGTCAGGGAGCTGACTAAAGAGATGTGTCTTACCTAAATTGTTCTCCAGGACAGCCTTTTCTCCTTCTAATTTTGTTTTGCCATATAGATTTAGGGGATTTGGTATGTCTTCCTCTCTATAAGGTGGGTTTGTTCCATCAAAAACATAATCAGAGCTAATGTAGATTAGAAATGCTCCAATTGCAGCTACAAAAAAAAGAGAGAAAACAATCTATTAAATTACTACACAACCTGACGCTTTACTGGAATTTGTAACAGCTTATTCATTAAAAGTATAACAAATTTCTTATAAGCCATCTACAAAAGTTTAATATTTGCACACACAGCAATCACTTAATTTTTATGAAGATTTTATAAAGTTGTCATTACCTGCTTCCTTTGCTAAATTCCCAGAAGCGTTCACGTTAAGTTGAGAAGCAGCATCTGGGTGATTTTCTACAACATCTGGCCTTCTCTCTGCTGCACAATGTACGATGACATGAGGCTAGAAGTTAAGCATTGATGTGTTTTTAGCCCAAAAAGGAATAAAAACAGAAGAACTATAGCCTTCCAACAGTAAATTAATTCATAGAAAAATGTTTATTAAAACATTCCTTCAACTAAAGAATCATTCTAATTTTTAATGTGGTTTTGTCATACTTCCCTTTTTCAACGTCCAAACTTCCTTAAAAATATATGTAGGCCCTGAGAAAGGAAGAGCAATCGAGCAATCCCCAGGCAAAATCAGACAAAACTCTGGGGTAACAACCAGGCTTCTAAATCAAAATAAGCTTCACGCCCTCATCTGAGCGGGAGAAAAGGGCAATCATCTATGTCATTCACATGACCTAAACAGTTAAGTCTGTGGGAAAGGGAGAGGAATAGCAATTGCAAATTAAATTCATAAATTCTAATCTCTTAAATCCATCATTTAAAGAAAATTAAGCATCCATAAAACTATATTGCCAGTTAAGTATTTAAGTATGCCACCTATATGCTAAGCAGTGTGTGAAGATCAAGGATTTCACAATCTAATGGAAAAAATGGGTATGTAAAGAGACCGTTTCAATACTGTATGACGTGAAGGTCCTTGGTAGAGACCGGGCATCTACTTCCCAGAGGAGCTGAGTCAGAGTTAAGATTTGAGAAGACCAGTGATCGGAAGGGCTCATGTACCCACACACGAAACTTCCTCCTTCTCAGAAATTGCTTGAAGAAGCATGACCTGAAAGTTGCTTTCAAACTGACATGTGCATAAGCTGGGATGGTTCTTAAAATGTGCAGTCCCAGGCTCTACCATAGGCTTACTGAATGAAAATCTCTGGGAGTGAGACATAAGAACAAGTTTTCCAAGTGATTCTGATGCAATGTTCTTTGGGTCATATTTTTAGAAAGAACCTGAATTCCTGATTTCACCTCTTACTCAGAGTTGTAACAGAACCTAATTCTTTCTGTAACTTTTCTGTAACCATGGCCAACGAGTTGTTTAACCTCTCTGAGCCTTTGTGATCTCTAAAATGGAAATGAGTCCCTTGGACTGCAAGGAGATCAAACCAGTCAATGCTAAAGGAAGTCAACCTTGAATAGACAGTAAAAGGACTGATGCTGAAGCTGAAGCTCCAATATTCTGGCCACCTAATGCAAACAGCCGACTCACTGGAAAAGACCCTGATCCTGGGAAAGATTGAAGGCAGGAGGAGAAGGAGGCAACAGAGAATGAGATGGTTGGATAGTATCACCAACTCAATGGACATGAGTTTGAGCCAATTCTGGGAGAGAGTGTAGGACAGGGAAACCTGTCCTTCAGATGTGCTGTAGGCAATGGGGGGGTCACTAAGTCGGCAACTAAACAACAAAAACAGATATGAGAACATCTGTTTTGCAGTGACGTAAGGTTAACAGATACTATTTTCAAAAGGATTTGCAGCAGAAGGAGAGGGTGGGACAAAATCGAGAGTAGCAATGACAGATATACCATCATGTGTAAAATAGCTAGCTAATGAGAAGCTGCTATGTAACATAGGGAGCACCGCTCCGTGACAGCCTTAAGAAGTAGAAATGGGGTTGGTGGCTCAAGAGGGAGGGGACAGACACAAACACACACACACACGGCTGATTTGTGTAGTTTTACAGCAGAAACCAAACACAACTCTGTAAAGCAATTATCCTCCAGGTAAAAAAAATAAAATAAAGAAGAAAAAAAAAAAAGCAAGTATTTTTACCCTCAAAACAAGAAAAGGATTTGCATATAAAGTGGTTCTTAGACGAGTAATTCACAAACAGAAGCTTTTTACAAAATGCTTCATTTTCTGCCTTTTGCTAATCTATATCTCAACCTAATTTTTTAAGGATGACATACTTTTTGATCCCCTCAAAAAAAAAAAAAATGTGCACTGTATACCATTGTTGCTTAATAGGTTAAAAGCTTAAGTACTATAACTTCCTTGAGAACAACAGTTTTTGTATCACCCAGACAGAATCACTGCAGATGGTGACTGCAGCCATGAAATTAAAAGATGCTTGCTCCTTGGAAGAAACACCATGAACAACCTAGACAGCATACTGAAAAGCATAGACACTGCTTTGCCAACAAAGGTCCATCTAGTCAAGGCTATGGTTTTCCCAGTAGTCACGTACGGATGTGAGAGCTGGACCATAAAGAAAGCTGAGCACCGAAGAATTGATGCTTTTGAACTGTGGTGTTGGAGAAGACTCTTGAGAGTCCCTCGGACTGCAAGATTAAACCAGTCCATCCTAAAGGAAATCGGTCCTGAAGTTCATTGGAAGGACTGATGCTGAAGCTGAAACTCCAGTACTTTGGCCAAATGATGCGAAGAGTTGACTCATTGGAAAAGACCCTGATGCTGGGAAAGATTGAAAGGAGGAGGAGAAGGGGAGGACAGAGGATGAGACGGTTGGATGGCATCACCGACTCAATGGACACGAGTCTGAGTAGGCTCTGGGAGTTGCTGATGGACAGGGAAGCCTTGCATGCTGCAGTCCATGGGGTCGCAAAGCGTCAGACATGACTGAGTGACTGAACATAGTTTCTTGCTTACCAGCTGAGCTACCAGAGAAGCCCCTTAATAGTTGACTTATGCGTTAAAATAAACCATACCTGAAAGTCATAAATGATGTGATGAACTGCATTAGAATCCAAGAGATTGACCTGCTCAAATTTTGGTCTTGCTCTTCTAAAACCACAGCCAACGGCATGCCAATTATTCTGCTGAAATTCTTTGTACACAGCTCTGCCAAGAAGCCCAGTGGCACCAGTAATGAGAACCCGCCTGTTGGGGATGTTAACTTCCTCCTAAAATGTGAAAGAGGAGAAAAGAATTAATTAATTTGAAAATAGCCTTTCAACAAAATTAGCCACCATCTTCATTCACTAAACATTTCAAGTCTGAGTTATCTGCTTCATGTCCCGTATGTATAAGTCTTAAGTTAGAACAAAGATCAATCAAACTGCATCAATAAGTATGTCACTTAAGAGAAAGTTTTAATAATCCTTCCCAAGAAAAAGAACCTAAGATGATACAGCAACGAATCACCTAGTCAAATAGATTTAGATTTCCTAACAGTAATAATGGAAAAACTTATTTTTAGGATCAATGATGTCCAAAGTAGTAATAAACACCAACTTTATGTTCTTCCATTTATAAAAATGCAGTTTAAAGCTTACTTATTTCTGCCCTGATCAAATATTAGGGTTATATTCTGCCAACATGTTTCCAAATCGACAGTTTTGCTCTTCAATTTTTAATCTCAAGTTTCCTTTTAAACCTCATTGACTTTATCATACTGTGATATGTCCAAATTAGAGAATTTCATATTTCATAGAAATTTACGTGGAAGAAAAATAAATTTGGTCCTTATAGAACTAACATTCTAAGTTTAACTGGTAAATATTCCTACACTGACTCTAAATTTACCTATTTAGACCAGTTAAAACTAATAAAACATAAGTAGAGGATAAGAAAAAATAAATATTTTAAACTCATCTATGTCACTATTGTGAAAAAGGAAAAACTGCTCACACACTAAAATTTAAAAAAGAACTACTATTTAGGAAACAATTCCAATTATCTCTACATAGAAATTTCCCTTCTTCCCAAGATAGATTAACGCCAAATATTCTCCCAGATATTTGAATTAAGAAAACACTATTCAAAACAAAAAACAATTTTTATTAGTCTATCAACTTGGAGCCTTTTAAATTTGAAATGTTGGTTTAGTCACCTAATTCTGAGCTGTCAAAAACCTTAAATATACACACAATAACCAAAGATCTTTTTTCCCTAACCCTTAAGACAGCTAATTGAACAGATTAAGAAAGGAAAAAAAAAAAAAAAAAGGCCACCTAAATCAAGTATGTCTATCAAAGGAAAAACCAGAAATGAAAGGGCTGACAGAAACAGAATAAAGGTAAGTTTTTAAAGATATTTCTTCCTTAATTCACCCCATTTGAAGATGTTTTAGAAGCTGAAGAAAAATTCATCTACGCTCTCCCTTGCAAAACTTGGCTCTAAGTCAAACAATCTATGCAAACAAAGATTTCAGCCAGCAAAATATTTTCTTTGAATTTTTGGCAAGAAAACAGCCCTGCAATGACTGCAATTGTTAAAGAGGTTAAAACAGGCCAGGTCTAGTAGAGATACAATCAGAAAACAATTTGCACAGGATAAATACCATAAAGATCCCTGGGAAAATACTATAAAAGGCCTATTGAGTTGGTTTCCTCTGAGTTTCTCACATCACTCTAAAGAAGGAAAGGAATAGACAGTGGTTCTTGGATCAGTGGTTCACAGGCTTTACTCGCCTAGGACAGGAATCAACTGGAAGGCTTTCGGATCCAGTAGATTTGGAACTAGGCCTGATAATTGGCATTTCTAACAAGTTTCCAGGTGGTGCTGGTGATTTGGAAACCGAACTTGAGAATTCCAGGAACATCCAAGAACTTCCTAAAGATAGCTCTGACTCAAAACAAATAAAAAAAAACCTGCCATCTACCCTTCAAGAAGCAACAACCTCATTACCCTTTTCTCCTTAAAAAGGAAAACTAGAAAAAGAAGTCAAAGACGAAACACCATGCTTGTAGGAACCACAAAATTACTGAACAGTAAAATAAGATCTCTGTGTACTTCACTGGTGAGTGAGGCACATTTTTTCTTCATTTATCATCTGTTCAATGAAGGAAATAAAGATGCATCTTACAAATGCGTTATGGTTTGGCAATCTTTTTGGCTTTTCAGTGCATCTTAAAATAAGAGTCCAGATAATCTTATAATTGAGAGCATCTAGATTTGATGAAATATAGTATTAAGTTACAAACACAGCGAGGGTCTTTAAGGCATATAATATTCTTCACTTTAAAAAAGCATGGGTGGTTGCGTGAAGAAGATACAAACCCTGTACAGCCTGGGATGATCTGTAAGCTCCCTGGAAGAAAACAGCCCATGTTACCTAGTGGTCAGATGTCAGTGTGCAGTAATTTTCTATATTAAAAGAGCAGAGATATGAAGTACAAGCATTTTCTGAAACAAGAGATTCTGCACAATCCTCTTCTTGAAAACTCTCACGTGAGAGTTTTCCAAAGCGAGGAACCTTAAATCTAAAGATGTTACAGGTTTTGCCCACAGTAAGAGGAAAAAGGTCGGAGACAGAATGTGTGTCCTTTTGCTTCTATCTATCGTCTAGTCAAATGCATGCTGAATTTTGTCTCAATCCTTTGAACTTATACTTGGTTTCTTGATGACTAAATTTTATCTTCTCTGCCACAAACTGTAGCATTAAGAAGTTACTCAACTCTACTAATATAACTCGCTGGTAAAAGGATGCATTTGGACAGATGATTAAGGCTCTTATAGCTTTACAATCCTACAATTCTAACATTTTCCATATTACCCTTCCCACAGAAGATACCTGAATACACTGAAAGAAGTTTGTTTAAACTAACTTTTCTTCTTTTCATACAGTTCTCTTTAGAGAATCAATAAGCATGTTCTGTCACAGTATAGAAGCCAAAACAAGAAGTTTTCATTCTGATTGCAAGTTTTTTGGTGGTTGGCAAATAAAATACACATCACTCTGAAATTAATAGAAGTCAAACAAAAATATCTCTATTTTTGAGTCTCTATAAACAGAACTCCTCCTGAAGCATCCTAAAGCACAGTTTTGATTCTTTTAAAACCATAGAAATATTCCTCTAAAAATAATTTCGGCTCATTACTCTATAAATTACTTTACTTCTGCCAAACACAGGAATGTCCAAACACCTCAAGGAACACTAAATGGAGGAACAAAAAGCTGCATAGTTAAACCAAAGCATAATTAAGACCTGAAGATATTCTGTCTTCCTGAAAACTCTATTTCTCAATTTTTATTCTTATGAGTCAAGTATATTAAACAATGAATTTAATTTGCATCTGCCTCTTCTCCTATCAACTCACAATTTACAGAATTCAGTAACACCAGGTGACCAGATTTATACACACACACACAAAAAATGTTTGAAAAAGTAAGTACATATAAATAAAGGAAGAGTCATAGCTCTTATTATGCCATCAAATCAAATAATAGCAAATTCTAAGGTACAGGACAATAAAAGGCTCCTCCAAAATGGTCCAAAACAGTACTCTGGGACAGTGGTTTCTACTTTAGCACACTTGGATTAACGTCTACTAAAAATGTTCTAGAGAAAGTCAAGAGTGAAATATCACAAATATTAAAGTAGGATCTTAAGTTTTAGTGGTAAATATAACTATACTTCGCTATTTTCAGAACCTCTTCAATCTGGCAAAGTTTCACATTGATTTATTTGATTCTCACAACATTCCCCTAGAGATAGATCTTTGACTAGACACTCCTGGACTTTGAGAAACTTTTAAAAATACCTAGGTGACACTGGTCTAAACTTCCACTGTCACCGTATTGCACCCCACGGCCAGTAATACGAACAGGAACCACCACAGTTTATTTCTCTAACATAAACTATAAGACAGTCCCACTAGGGAGTTTTAACTCTACAGCTTTTGAGAGAAGCAAATACGTGTCAAGCTTTTGGTTGTGCAATTTGAACGAATGAAAATGCCATTTTTATTTGTTTACTGAACTCACTGTTAAAACTAATTAAGCTTTATACACACACACATGCATACACAGTGCACATATATAAGCAATATACAATTTTAGGGACTCAGCATTGTGTGGGGTACACAGGAGCAAAACAGAGGATCAAACAGCCCATCCATCCTAACTTTACTCCCCAAACTCCAAAATGACTTGAAAACACTAAATATGCTATATTTTGAAGGTGTAAAAATTTTGCATTCTCAAAAATAGCCATCACTTACACCTTCTCTTATATCCTCAAGATATACTGATCTCGGCATGAACATTCTTCTTATCCCCAGTGCTAGATATATACCCTATGGACTGATAGGAATACTGAGGGGCCTGGAATGAACTAGAGATCGGGATTTATGGAGGAGGTTTAGTTTATGCAATCTCTGGAGTGGTTCAAAGCCTGAGACAGTCAAAGAGATTGTATTTGAATCTGCAATCTTACTGAATGAAGTTGGACCAAAGATCTGCTCTCTTAGTCTCATTTAAATATCTGTAAAATGGAACAAAACCAGTACCTTATAATTATGAGAACTAAAATAAATAATGCATTTTCACAACAGTGCCATGCTTATGCTTATACTTATCTCCAATCCTCTTACTACTTCTGAAAAGCCACTGGCCCCTCTTTTCTCAGAGATACGAACAGTTAAGATCAAAAAAGATGAACAAAGGATGAAAACGAAATTTAGAAAGTCAAAACAGCTCAGAAAACCCCTCTTCGTTCCTGAGAGGAGACACGGGAGGCTCGAAAGTGAAACCCGACCTAATCACTTCCTGTCGCAGGGGCTGATAAACAAAACACAGAAGACTGTGCACCGAGGTAAACAAACTCGGCGGCGCCGCCCTCGTCTCCTGGGGCCTCCGACTCTGGGAGGATGCGTCTGGAAAACCACTCGAGCCCCCGCCACCAGACTCTTCCCGCTCTGCGCACTCGGTTACCACGAGACGTCTCCCCACCCCGCAAGACCCGGGCCAACTCCCTCACCTCCACCAACCGGCAGTCCCCGGGAACAAAGTGGATAGAGAGCTCTTTCTCCCGGCCCACCATGCCCGCCGTCTTTGCGCTGTAGTCGCCGCCGCCGCCGCAGCGACCGCCACTTCCTTCAGCCCGGGATCGCGGCGGGCCGCAGCTCCAACCCCCCCTGGGCCCGCCTACCATAGGTCTGGGCCAGCCCCCTTTCACCGCTTCCGGCTTCCGCCGCCAAGACCGCGCTTCCTAATTGGCCACGCTCCGCCGACGCCCCTGAAAGGGGACGGACGCGCTCGGGACGCTCCCAGCCCACGCGCCAACTCTTAAAGGGATACAGGAAACAAAGGCCCTGGTCTTAAACTGGGAATACGAGTTTTGTTTTGGGGCCGGAGGGGGACATGGGGGGCGGGGGTCAAGAATATTTTGTGTGTTCTTCCTTCTCGACTACGTAAGGAGTGAACTGGATCCCCCAGACTGTGTGCGGTGTCTTAAGAATCAACTGAGCACGTGATACCTAAAGCGGGATGGAGGTGGTGGTGGTGTACTCGCTAAGTCGTGTCCGACTCTTGCGATTCCATGGACAGAGGAGCCTGGCAGTGTACAGTCCATGGGGTTCTCCAGGCAAGAATACTGGAGTGGCTTGCCTTTTTCTTCCCCAGGGGATCTTCCCAACCCAAGAATCGAACCGGGGTCTCCTGCATTGTGGACGGATTCTTTACCAACTGAGCTACAAGGGAAACCCATAAAGCCGGATGAAATACTTTCAAGTCTTGGTGGGAGGGGTGAAGCGGGGAGAGGAGACTACACAACGTTCTGTATCTATAGAGCATTACAAGGTTTTCTTGAGAGATTGAAAGAGAGACTGGAATAAAAACAAAAGTGTTGATATCTGCGTCATTAACACTTAAAGAACCCATTTCTCTTTCTGGCATGCCAGAAAGTAGTACGCGTGAAATTCCGAACGTGTCAAACTCTTCTTAACTAGTTAAAAATAAAAACACCTAGAAGGCTGGGGGACGAATTATTTGGCTGCCCCTTCAAAACAAGGATTTTCGGACTTTTATCAGTAATTGCTGAATGAGTTATTGTAGGAGCCTGCGGGCTACAGTCCATGGGGTCGCGGTCTGACACAACTTGGCGACTAAACAACAATAACTGGGACTCTGCATTCTAGTCAACTCTAACCCGAGTCAAGATCAGCCTTTGAGAAGCACCGCCTTACAGGTTGCAGCGTCAAGCTACGCTAGGCGAACCTCCACTACCAGGAAAAGTAAAGGAACTAGGAGAAGAGAGTCATGCTGAACCTTCCACCACCTGGATTACGCTTTTTCCAAGTGACATCAGAAGCGGCCCTAGTAGGCAACTGCAACTGATTTCCAGTTCAAACCCGAAAAGTTGCTTGTGAAATTTATTCGCAAAAAACCCGAGTATGGAACGCATAGGTTTTGCCAAATTTGAACGTAAATCTGTACTGTTCTCGTCCAGACACGCAGGATACCAAAGCCTTTAAAGTCGCGCACAAACGTGATTACTGCTTGGGTCTTTCTAAAACATATTTTCATAAACCTTTTTTGGTTTAACCTTAGAGCTCAACACTAAGCAGCTTTTAAAAAAATTTTTTCCGTCTGAGAAATCTTCCGTAAAGATTTTTACGTCTGAGTCCGGTGACTTTCTTGCCTACCCAACCCCCAACAAGAACTCATTTCCTAGTTACTGTAAGAGTAAAGTTTCTTTGGAACTGCAACAAGAGAGACTGAGGCTTCACACTTTTCTATTTTTGTTTTACTCCAGGCTGTTAATCAATTTAGCATTATTCAGAGTCCTTGAGAGAAACCCTCCAACGGGAAACCATGCATAATTTGCTAACAACAAAGAAATGGTGTGGGTGTTGGGGGAGCAGATTCAAGATCCTCTTGACCGTTTTTTAAAAGTAATTTTTGTGAAGTTTCTAGTTGAAGCAGTAATGCAATCTAATCTTTCCAGGGAAAAAAAAAAGAATTCTGTCCTACTTGAAGACGATTTAAGGACTTGCATATACAATTAGCATTTTGATTCTCAGAGCAGCCTTATCTGGAGTGAGGAACAAAAAGTTTACTTGCCTACATTTGAGGATCTGGTTTAATATTTGCCAGATAAAACTTGGGTATGGGTCTAGGGGCATATCTTCGTACTTGGGTTTTAATCATCCTTTTTAAAAATGGAAGTTTCTACATGAATGAAAACGCCATTGTTATACAGACAATATCCAAGTTCCTGTGGTGGCTAAGTCTATAAATTTAAATAGAGCAATCTAGAGATAAAAGTTAGGTTAGCAGGTTCATTGCTTGCCAAGACAAAGAAAGCCTGGAGCACCCAACTATAGATAAAAGCATTATTTCTATAGAAACTTCACCTACATGAATGCATTTTAATCTGGTTAAGTGAAACTGCTGTTTTGGGTTATTTTTTTCAATTGAGACTTAGCTGAGCTCTCCGTACAGGGTCAATAATTAAAGCTGTTTAATTATTCCAAGTCCCAAAGTTATAAATCTTAAAGAAATGAATGACACTTAAAAAAAAAAAAACGCACACTCCCTTTTCGGCTTTTACGTTCCCAGACGTTCACTGGGATTCTTGTAAAGAAACTCTATAACAGACTGCTTTTCTTGAATAGCTCACTCTTACCTGTTCCATGTTCTCCGGCATTTCAGGCATGATTCCAAAATTATCTGAGGAAAAAGATTTGAGATGGGTTTCAGCCTTTGCCTCCTCGGGCCGGGTCTTTGTTCTGCCTGCAGAGAGCGCAGGCACACGAAAACGTGAGCCACAGCTTCACTCGACCTTTGAAATTAGCATTTTGAGTCGGATCCCAGAATCTCGTGCAGCATTCCACATTGCAGTAAACTGGCAGCTGATTCCCCGTGACAGTCTTGAAAATACCCAATGAGAAGTTTCATGTTGTACTGCCAGCCAAATAAGGTCCATTATCAAAACCATTAGGAGAACCAACTTAGAAAGAAATATAGATACAACCACAAAAAACCTCCTGTGAAGACTTGTTGCAATTTTCTCTTGCGAAAGAAAAGCAAGAGCCAGCAGTTGGAAAGCACGCAGGCCACGCAATTGATTCCTATTCTGAAATAGTTTATTGAGTTATGCCTGATTACAACAGAATCCGTTCGGTAAAGTTCTTCAGTGCTTTTAATTAATTATTTCAAAAGACTGGTAAAAGGCACTGGTGGTAACAATACGCAGATGTTAAAAACCAACAGGTTATTTCCATTAACATGTCCTGTCCCATTTGAGGAAATGGTGGGTGGAGTAGCTTTAAATTTGGCTGAACTTTAAGGACTGCTATTTCCCTGATTCCCAGACTTGCCAGCACCATATAATCTATGAAACAAAATCAAGTGAAGCCTAGCAATCCTATTTTTAAAGTTTAAAGGGTATTGAATATACTCAGCTAAATTTTGAACCACCATTCTGGATTAAGGCTTTGTAACAATTTAACAACCAACAAAAAAATTGCCATTTAGGTAGGTACTTCCTGGGTGTTCCAGTGGTTAAGACTTCTGACTTCCAATGGAGGGATTGAGAGTTCTTAGCTACACCTTCAGTTCAGTTCAGTTCAGTCACTCAGTCGTGTCCAACTCTTTGCGACCCCATGAATCGCGGCACGCCAGGCCTCCCTGTCCATCACCAACTCCAGGAGTTGACTCAAACTCATGTCCATCGAGTCGGTGATGCCATCCAGCCTTAGCATGTAGCTAAGATCCTACATGCCTCAGGGTCAAAAGACCAAAACATAAAAACCAGAAGCAATATTGTAATAAATTCAATAAAGGGTCTTAAAAAAGTTGCCGTTCATGTAGAGCTTTAGAAAAAGGTGACTTTTTATCATCTACTCCTATAAAGCACCTGATAAACTGTATGAGGCATAGAGGGTCTGTAAGTGATGAACAACATACAGTTTTAAAAAATTGATGAATTAAATTTCATCCAGTACTTCGGCCACCTGATGCAAAGAGCTGACTCATTTGAAAAGACCCTCATGCTGGGAAAGATTGAGGGCTGAAGGAGAAGGGGACGACAGAGGATGAGATGGTTGGATGGCATCACCAACTCAATGGACATGAGTTTGGGTAGGCTCCGGGAGTTGGTGATGGACAGAGAGGCCTGGCGTGCTGCAGTTCATGGGGTCGCAAAGAGTCAGACATGACTGAGCGACTGAACTGAACTGAAAGTTCATCAAAATTTAAAACTTCTGTTAATCAGAAGACAATATTAATAAAATAAGTAAAACACAGACTGGGGGAAATTATCTTGATACATCTATCTTAAAGGATTTACATTCAGAATACTTAAACTCCAACTCAAAGTTTTTTAAAAATCATTTTTTAAATGTACATAAGTTTTGAACAGATGCTTTATAAAGTTAACATTTGTTTTGCAGAAGGTTTTACTTTCGTTTTAGGTTCCAAGGATTCACTAATAAAGCCCTCATTACACACACAATAAACAATCTTAATATTCAATAGATTATCTGACTTAATTTCAGTGAGAAGTGAAAGAAGCGCTTAGTCATATCTGACTCTTTGGACTGTAGCCCACCAGGCTTCTCTGTCCATGGAATTTTCCAGGCAAGAATACTGCAATTAGTAGCTATTGCTTTCTCCTGGGGGATCATCCCAACCCAGGGATCGAACTTGGGTCTCCTTCATTGCAAGCTGAATGTTTACCTTCTGAGCCACCAGGGAAGCACAGTTTCAGCTATAATACAGTCAGTATACAATCCAATATACATAATTTCAATAAATAGTTATTAAAAGAAGAGAAATAGAAACAATAGAAGTAACAGCTTATATATCACCAAATTGGGAAGACAACCTATATCCAGACTTGAACAGTGCCAGGAAGTCCCCAAATAACAGCAATCTGGAGTCCCAGTTGGGAAAAGGGTCCTGGGTGGTGTGTCGGGTGAGACTTCAAATCGCAGCTTCTGGGAGCTCTCGTTTATAATATCAGGCTGCAAACTATCATCAGTTTATATGCAAAAATGCAATGCGGCTCTGTGTTTTTTTTTAACTTTTACAATGCTA